TAAATAATTTGGGTGTATTCTCTAAGGACATTCTCTTACATAATCACGGTACAAGTATCAAAATTAAGAAATTTGGCATTGATACTGTACTATCCAAATTCAGAGTTTCCCTAGTTATCCCAATAATGTTCTTTATATGTTTTTTAGGGGGAAAGGTAGGAAACCAGAATTCAATCAAGGGTCACGTATTCCAATTAGTTATTGCGTCTCTTTAGTCTCCTTTAATCTAGGCGATTTCCAAGCCTCCGTGTGTGTATGGGATTTCACAACATGGACCTCCGTGAACAGCGCAGGCCGGTTGTTTTGCCGACTGTCCCTCAGTTTGGATTTGTCGGGTTGTTTTCCTATGATTAGGTTCAGGGTAAACACATTTGGTATGAATATAGGTGATATCGTGTTCTTTCGGTGCAAACTATTACGGGGCACATGTGAAGATGTTAAATTTGGTGATTTGGTTAAGCTGGTTTGGGATTTTGACTTCACATTTCACAAGCTGGGCAAGTTGGTTAAGTTGGTTAGTGAGTCAGTTTTCTTGTCTGTCAAATAAGTAATAATAATACTGGTTTTATGAGGTTTTTGAATACATCTAAGGCACTTAGAACAGTGCCTGGCACATTGCAAGCATTCAATAAATAAATTATTACCATTATTATTATCAACACTACTATTTTTACCAAACTGTATGTTGTTGTATTAGGTGCATCGAGTTGATTTTAGACTCACAGTCAGCAAATCGTGTTTGATTCATAGTCACTCAGGTGACAGAGTAGAACTGTCCCCACAGGTTTCCTAGGCTGTAATCTTTATGGGAACAGATCGCCAGGTCTTTTCTCCCACAGAGCGAATGGTGGGTTCAACCTTTCCGTTAGCAGCCAAGCGCTTAACCTTTGCACCAGCAGAGCGCCTCCCAAAGTGTGTGAAGACCCTAATATGCGCCGTGCCCCGCGCTCCACCTATATTTTCTCATTGCTTCTTCATCCCTCCAGCACGTAGACTGGAATAGTGCAGGGTGCATAGGAGGCATCTGATAAGTATTGTTGGCTGACTGACGACGCTGAGATAGATTGCTATCAATATCGCACCATTTTATAGATGAGGAAACTGAGGCTCCGACAAATGAGGTGATTTACCTAGGGTCCCACAGATTGCTGGAAGTGGCAAGAACCAGGATTTGAACCCAAAATTGTCAGACCTATTGTAAAATGGGAGATAAAGAACCTGAACTTTGTCACAGTTGTCAAGGACTGTGCAGATGTGAAGATCTGAATTGGAGCGCCTTGCACAGTGCTCCGGCACGTACATGCAGTCGGTGCTCAATAAATGTTTCAGACGTCGCCCCGCCTGAGTTGGGGCGGGACTGGGAATTCCAGGCGGCTCCACGCCGGGGCACCACAGGACCACGTGTTCCACGAGGGTGTGGCTTCCTATGACCCCGCCCCACCATCAAAGCTGCATCTTTTGCCTCTCGCGCGCTTAGACAGCTGCGGTGTTTTGGCCCGCAGGCTGAGCCGTAGCTACAAGTCTCCTCAGGCGTCCGCAGCCAGGAAGCGGGGTGTCCAGAACCCTGGGCCAAGCTCCGAGATGTCCGGGAAGGAATGTGGGGAGAGTGAAGGCGCCCCGGGGGCCGGCGCGGTGACAGTCAGCGACATCCAGGAGCTGATGCGGCGCAAGGAGGAGATCGAGGAGCAGATCAAGGCCAATTATGACGTGCTGGAGAGCGTGAGTGTGGGCCCGCTCCTGGCCGGGCGTGGGGGCGCCCCGAGGCCTCCTGGCTGCCACCCCCGCCCCCCGCAACCCACGGCGGCGTGGGCCCGGGCTCTTAGCCGTGGAGCTTTCCCTCCCCGGGAAGCCCAAGGCGCCACAACTGCGGCCTCTGTCGGCCGCAGGCAGCACCGACAAATAACGTTCCCTAACAACAGATAGATAGTATAGCAAGCGCTTGTGGAGCTCTTACCGAGTGCTAGGCGCTGTCTTAAGTGCTTTACATTTGTTAGGTCGTTTACGGGCCACAGCAGTCCTTTGAGGTTATTGTTGTTGTTAGGTGCTGTCGAGTGGGTTCCCACTCATAGAGACCCTAAGTACCACAGAAGGAAACGCTGCCCGTCCTGCGCCTGCCTCACAATCGTTATGCTTGAGCCCATCGTTGCAGCCACTGTGTCAGTCTTGTTAAGGGTCTTCCTCCCTTTCGCTGACCCTCTACTGTACCAAGCATGATGTCCTTCTCCAGGGACTGGTCCCTCATAGTAACGTTTCCATAGTCCGTGAGACGAAGTCTGGCCAGCCTCGCTTCTACCTAGCGTTCCGCCTGTACTTCTTCCAAGACAGATTTGTTCGTTCTTCTGGCAGTTCATGGTATATTCAATATTCTTAGCCAACACCATACTTCAAAGGCATCAGTTCTGCCGTCTTCCTTTTTCATTGTCTAGTTTTTGCATGCATATGAGGCGATTGAATATACCATGGCTTGGGTCAGGCGAAACCTTAGTCCCCAAAGTGACATCTTTGCTTTTCAACACTTTAAAGAGGTCTTTTGCAGCAGATTTTGCCCAGTGCAATAGGTCTTTTGGTTTCTTGACTGCTGCTTTCATGGACGTTAATTGTAGATCCAAGTAAGAAGAAATCCTTGACAACTTCAATGTTTTCTCCGTTTATCACAATGTTGCTTATTGGTCCAGTTGGGAGGATGTTTGTTTTCCTTATGTTGAGGCGTAATCTCGTACCTCAGGCTGTAGTCTTTGATTTTCATCAGTAAGTGAAATAATAGTATCCTTTGAGGTGGGTAGTAGTAGTTTTCCCATTGTAGGAATGAGGAAACACAGGTGTTCTTTAACTTAAACCTGCCTGAGGTCACAGAACTAGTAAGTTACAGAGAGGGCAGTGGTTACCACCATCAGTCCCTGTTGAGTGTTTACCAGGGTGGTGTGCTTTGTTAACTATCTTCCATCGGGGCTTCTTAAACTTTAATGAGCATTAATGGAGATCTTGTCAAAACGCAGATTCTGAAGTGGGGAGTGCTTGGGTAGATTCTTCATTTCTAGCAAACTCCAAGGGGATGCTACTGTTGTGGGTCTAAGGACTGCACTTTGAGTAGGAAGAAAACCCACTGCGCCATATTCTGTACTCACTTGAGTAGCCCTGGTGGCAAGGTGGTTAAGCAGCATGGCTGCTAAGTAAAGGTCCGAGGTTTAAACCCACCAGCTGCTCCCCAGGAGAAAGGCGTGGCAGTCTGCTTCTGTAAAGATTACATCCTGAGAAGCCCTATGGGGCTGTTCTACTCGGTACTATAGGGTTGCTGTGAGTCCTAATCAATGACAATGGGTTTTGGTACTCACCTGATAAGGGAGTAAGGAGGAAACAGGCCCAAAGTGGGGCACACCCTTGCCCAGAGTCATGCAGCTTGGAAGTGGCAGGGGTGGAGCTTGTTCCCAGGTCTGTCTGGCTCCAAAGCTGATGCAGTTTTTGCTGTGCCACCCAGTGTAAAACCAAACCACAAGTCAATTTGCAGGGGTTGAGTAAGTTAAATACATCTTATATAGGAGAAGATGAGGTGCATTTTAGGTGGTGGGAGTAAGATGAACTGTCACGTGGAGGCCAGGGTACCATTTTGCTGGTGTTGACTATATGCCTCAAGGGTGCTGGTTTTTGTGTGCAGTTAAACTGTGAAATCCTCTCAACTACCCAGGGAGGTTGGTGTGTTCCCCTGAAGCTTCAAAAAGAGAAGTCACTTGCTCAGAGTCAAAAAGCGGGATTCAGACATCAGGCCTGTTTAATCCAGAATCTGTGTTTTCCAGCATTATGTCAACAGTTTTTCAAAACTTCAGTTACTTTTCTCCAGGATACTGTATATGTAGGCCTCCTTGCTGTTAGCCCCTTGATATTTTTTTAAAAATTGATATTAAAGAAATTTAAGAAAATTTTGTTTTTCTTTAGAGAAATTTATTTTAAAAGGAAAATTTATATTTCTATAGCATATGGAAAACCAGAATCTTTTCCCTTATATATAAGGTAAAAATGCGTAGCAAGGCAGTACAAAATGTTAATTGCCTCCAGCTAGCTACTTTGCTTTCTGAAAGCTTTAATCTTGAACCCCTCCTCTCTGTTTATTTGAAAAGAAGTGGTGAACTAAAACTGTAAATCCCTTCAAATAAAATCTTCCTGATCTTGGGTTAGGCAGAGCCTTCTTAGATAGGATGCCCAAAGCACAAAACCAGACCAAAAAAAAAAAAAAAAAAAGGATAAATTGGACTCATTGAAATTAAAAGTAAAAACTTGTGCTTCAAAGGACACAATCAAGGAAGTGAAAAGCCTCCTTTGCCACGAGACCAGAACTGGATGGTGCCTGGCAGCTGCCATTACTGAACATTTTGATCAAAGATTCTATAGAAGAATCCTGATCAAAAGGGGGAAAATGCACAACAGACTTCAAATTCTCATGGACTCCAAACTTCTGGAGCCACAGAGGCTGGATGAATCCCTGAGACTATTGTCCTGAGATAATCTTTAAGCCTTAAACCAAAAATATCCCCCGAAGTCTTCTTAAAACCAAACAGTAGTTTAGATTAACTAGTAAAGAATGTTTGCCTTGAGCACTGTGCTCTTTTGAGAGATATCTATATGGGATCAGGAAACCCTGGTGGCTTAGTGGTTAAGTGCTATGACTGCTAACCAAAAGGTCAGCAGTTCGAATCTACCAGGCGATTCTTGGAAACTCTTATGGGGCAGTTCTACTCTGTCCTATAGGGTCGCTATGAGTCAGAATTGACTTGAGGGCAACAGCAGCTCAAAAGATTAGATAGGAACCTTAGGGGACAGTGAGTTCCTATTAATGGGGGAGGAACAACTCAAAAAATAAGGGTGAGAATGGTTACACACCAACGTCACTGAATTGTACACGTAGAAACTGTATGTTCTCAACAACAACAAACATGAAAAGAGAACCTATAAAATTCAGAATGCTCTCATTTTGAGATCCGTAATTACAGCTGCAGAGACCCTTCTCCCAAATAAGGTCGTGCTAACAGGTACGAGGATTAGGACTTGGGCATATCTTTTTTGGGGCCACCATCCGGCCCACTACACTGTGTCCACTACCTATGTCCCGGGTACTGTGCCAAGCACAGGCCAGTTCATTTTTTTCTCACATCAGGTAGGAAGAGGGGTGAGGGCTTTTATTCCCATTTTATAATCGAGGAGGCCGAGCCTTCGAGAAGTGAGGCTCTTAGCCGCGGACACGAAACTTATACAGGCAGAAGTGAGATTTACGTCAGAGTCTGACACTGCAGAGCCCCTGCCCTACACCACATGACATGTTGTATTGCTTTGGCACATTATGTTGTTTTTTTTTTTATAGTATATTTCTTTTTTTGTTTTGGTTGATTTTTTTTTTCTTATTGTACTTTAGATGAAGGTTTACAGGCAAACAAGTTTCTCATTAAACAATTAATACCCATGTTGTTTTATGACATTGGTTGCCAACCCCACGACATGTCAGTACTCTCCCCTTCTCGACCTTGGGTTCCCTATTACCACCTTTCCTGTCCCCACCTGCCTTCTCGTCCTTGCCCCCAGGCTGGTGTGCCCATTTAGTCTCATTTTGGTTTATGGGCCTGTCTAATCTTTGGCTGAAGGGTGAATCTCAGGAGTGGTGACTTCAATACTGAGCTAAAAGGGTGCCCCCGGGGTCGCCATACTCTCAGGGTTTCTCCCGTCTCTGTCAAGACCAGTAAGTCTGGTCTTTTTTTGTGAGTTAGAGTTTAGTTCTACGTTTTCCTCCAGCTCTGTCCGGGACCCTCTGTTGTGATCCCTGTCAGAGCAGTCAGTGTGGTAGCTGGGCGCCATCTAGTTGTGCTGGACTCAGTCTGGTAGAGGCTGTGGTGGCTGTGGTCCATTAGTCCTAGCGCATTATGCTTTGACTTATATAGGAAAAGGCTTAAAAATGTTAAAAAAAAAAAAATGTATTGATTTGAGTAGGTAATACATTCCCATGGCCAAAATTCAAAATCTACAAAAAGATAGAAAATGAAAAATCTGCCTCCTTCCCCTGCCCTCTGACCACCCAGTTCCTCTCCCTGGAGGCACCAGTGATATCAGTGCCTCCTTCCGGAGATGACAAGGTCTTTGAAAGCCCTCTCAGATCTCTCTTTATTTTCAGAAGAACTGAGGCCCTGCCCCAGCTGCATGTTCTTTGAGGTTTTCACTCCCTTCTGTCCTCCAAGGCCACCAGCCAGGTGTCAGCTGCCCAGGGGAAGGAGGGTTTGGAGGAGTCCAGGAAGAGACTGGCCTTGGGAATGATGCTCAAAGGAGTCTCTGGTTTTCTTTCAAAAAAGAAGAATGTATTCACACATGACTTGTGTTATTAAACAGTAATTCGAAAAGACGGTGCCCACCTCTAAGGGTAGTTGTGAGATAATTGGGGGTGAGGGGAAGCATCTGGTGTGTGGAATGACCAGCATCCGGCAGTTATCGTTATAATAATACAGTGTTAACGTTATTACTGCACAGGAGCAGGGCCGGGGGCACGGGATCCTGAGGAACTTTGTGGATTCTTGTTAACAAAATTTCTTTCCTTCAGCAAAAAGGAATTGGGATGAACGAGCCCTTGGTGGACTCCGAGGACTACCCCCGGTCAGACGTGGACCTGTATCAAGTCCGAACTGCAAGGCACAACATCATCTGTGAGTGACTGTCAACACACAAATCAAATTACTGCAGTTAATGGGATCTGCCCCCATCGTCCGCCTTGTCGGGATGATCTCATTGTACCCATTGAGGGACTGAGAACTAAGAGAATGGGTTGGACGCTGTTGCTCTTAGGTGCTGTCGAGTTGTGACTCATAGCGACCCTGTGTACAACACAAAGAAACACTGCCTGGTCCTGTGCCATCCTCACAATCATTGCTGTGCTTGAGCCCTTTGTTGCAGCCACTGTGTTAATCCATCTCGTTGAAGGTCTCCTCTTTTTCGCTGACCAGCTAGGGTTCTGTTTTTATTGTTTCATTTTTATTTTGTTCTTAGGAATTTCACTGTGGATACTTTATTGAAAAGAAAAAAAAACAACAAAACCAGAAACCTCAGTCAAAGATTGCTTGGAAACATGATCAAATCAATTATGTATTTGGTAGGAATCATGTTCATCTGTTAATGATAGCAACATGACTACGGTGACTTAAACATAAAAGGGTTTAGTCTTTCGGCAAAAGACATTTGGAGGGAGGCAGTGCCGGGCTGGCTGGCAGAGACCCAGGCTCCTCTCTGCTCTGCCATCCTCAGGGCACAGCTTCCAGTTTTTTTTTTTTTAAATTGTGGTGAAATATATATGACAAAACATTTCAGCCATTTTTACATGTTCAGTTCATTGACATTGATCACATTTACCATATTGTTGAACCATCACCACTGTCCATTTCCAAACTTTTCGCCACCCTTAAACAAAACACCACCCCCCATTTCCCCCTCCCACGCACCCCTGGTAACCACTCATCAACTTTGATCTCCGTGCATTTGCCTATTTTGGACATGACTTCCGTCTTGAAGGTCTCCACGTCCATGTTCTACACAGGAAGAAGGGGAGGGAAGAAGGTAGGGGGGCAAAACGTTCTATGCCAGCTAGCATCCGCTTTGAAAATTCCTGCCTGTCCTCTGCCCAGAAAAGTTCCTGCTTTCATCTCATAGGCCCCTCTGCCTGCAAGAAAGGCTGGGAATGTACTCCACCAGGTGGTGGTTGCAAGGTGCCATTGATCGCTTTTGACTTAGAGCAACCCCATGGGACAGAGTAGAACTGCCCCACAGGGTTTTCTTGGCTGTGATCCTTACAGAAGCAGCTCGCCAGGTCTTTTTCCCACAGAGTCGCTAGGTGGGTTCGAACCGCCAACCTTTTGGTTAGCAGCCAAGCGCTCAACTGTTTGTACCACCAGGGCTCCTTTATTCTCTGCTATAGGCACGTTGATATCTTCTGCTGGGGGTGGGGTCCCCAAGTCCCATAATGCCTGAGGGCATCACCCTGGCTCCACAGTGAAAGGGGCGAAGGAACCAGCTCCCGTGGCTGCATATGGTCATTGTTAAATGCACTTGACAAGTCTGAAGGCCTGTGACCCTCAGGTGCAGGGCACGGAGGGGCTGACAGTGGTGCCCTGCTGAAGGCTTCTGTTCATACTTCTCAAAGGGCGTTGTGTCAGTAACCTGTTTAATAGCAGTGTGGGATTCTAAGGAGTAGAGGGAGTTGCTTTTACGTTAAAAAAAACGAGTTGTCTCTGAGGTTGCAAAATGCCAGCTGACATGCTGAACAGGCCTGCAGATGCGACCTGTTCAGCCATGTTCATTGTGGCCCATGTGTTTTGAATTAGTTGTCAGTGTTGGAAAAAATCAGAGGACCTCACCACAAAACCCCTAATTTCCAGCTTTTCTTGAAAAAGCACAGGTCTGGTGACACTGCTCTGTCTTCCCAAGCGCCTGTTGTTGGCGAGAAACCACAGCGGAGCCCCTGGCTCCCTGTGACCTCTTCCAGGTGGGTGTCCCTGGCCACTTATTACTGGGCTGAAATGTCATGTTTCTTTCTGAACAGGATGAATTAAGAGATCAGTGGAATGTTCCTTAGACCCAGCCCGCTTCAGTCTTTGCATGCCTGCCACACCTGTCCCATGTACGTGTTTGTTTATGGCTGAGGGTGCAGGTAGACAGTGCCTTACTTCTGCCCACCTTCCCTGATCTCCAAGACTAGCCAGTGCAGGGCCCCTGCAGGGAGGCCTCATGGCAGTCCCCGTCTGTCACTGCAATGACTTGTCCCATGTCTGCCTTCCTTGCTGGGCTGTAGACTTCATGAGGGACATTGCTCTGTCTTGTTCACTGATTTGTCCTCGGCTTCCAGCCCAGCATCTGCCACGGATGAAAAGAAAACAAAACAGTTGCCATCGAGTCTGTTCTGACTCATGGCGACCCCATGTGTGCAGAGTAGAACTGCTCCATAGTGTTTTCAAGGCTGTGACCTTTCAAAAGCAGATCACCAGGCCTTTCTTCCAAGGAACCTCTGGGTGGGTTCGAACTGCCAGCCTTTTGGTTAGTAGTTGAGTGCGTAACTGTTTTTGCCACGCAAGGACTCCTGTGGATGAAGCACTCATTAACACCCAGTGAATGAATGTGGGAGCCTTGGTCTTCAGCTGTCTGTCTTGACCCCTGACGCGGTGGTTCTCATCCCAGGCCTGCAGAACGATCACAAGGCGGTGATGAAGCAGGTGGAGGAGGCCCTGCACCAGCTACACGCGAGGGACAAGGAGAAGCAGGCTCGGGACATGGCCGAGGCGCAGAATGAGGCCATGAGCTGCAGGCCGGACCTGAGCCTTGGCAAGAGCCCCTGCCCCCTTCAGGCCTTCGCCAAAGTGAACAGCATCAGCCCCGGCTCCCCAGCCAGCCTTGCAGTAAGTCGGCCCCGGGACCCAGACCCACATCCAGAGGGCTCCATGGGCTACATGGCCTTGGGGCAGGGGGACAGTGGAAAAACAGACACACCCCCTCCACGCCGGAAGGGAGCAGCTCTGAGTTCACATACTCACTCAACAAATGCTGACTGGGAGCCAGCCCCTGCCGCCCACTACACTGGTGGATAGGAGACCTGTCCATGGTGAGGACAGGGACACAGGGTGATAAGTGTCTGAAGAGAGGGAGAGAGGAGCTCTTCTTGGGCTTGTAGCTGGGCACTGCCTGATAGAAATAACAGTGGCAGCAACAGCTGGCACTTACCAAGGCCTTGCTTTGCGCCAGGCGTCCTGCCACACGTGATACACATCTCACCTGGTGTCTTTATTTTATAACAGCTTTATGGAGATACAATTCTATACGATACAACTCATCCATTGAAAGTATACAATTTACTGGTTTTTAGTACATTCACAGAGCTGTGCATCCCTCACCAACAATCAATTTTAGAACATTGTATTATCCCCAAGAGAAACCGTACCCCTTAGCTGTCACCCCAACCTTCCTAAGCTTCCCAGCCTTAGGTAGCCCCTACTTTACTGCTTTCTGTCTCTATGGACTTCCCTGTTCTGCACATTCCATATAAGTGGAGTCGTATGCTTCTTTTACTCAGCATACTTTTTCGAGGTTCATCTATGTTGTGGCATGTATCGGAACTTCATTCCTCTTTATTGCTGGATGATATTCACTGTGTGGATAGACTGTGCTTCATTTATCCATTCACCAGTCGATGGACATTTGGGTGGTTTCCACTATTTGGAGGCAGTGAATAATGCTACTATGAACATTCGCGTACAAGTGTTTGCGCGGATGTGTATTTAATATTTAACCTCCTCGGCCGCCCTCTGGGATAGGTACTTACCTTTTTTTTTGTTTTATTTATTTGTTGTTTATTGTTGTAGTTTAAGTGAAAGTTTGCATTTCAAGTTAGTCTGTTATAAAAAAATTTGTACACACATTGTTACATGACCCTAATTGCTCTCCCTGTGCTGTGACAGCACACTCCTTTCCACCCGATTCCCCATGTCCACTCAACCAGCTCCTAACCCTCTCTGCCTTCTCATCTCACCTCCGGACCGGAGCTGCCCATTTAGTCTCGTGTATCCACTTGACCTAAGAAGCACACTATTCATGAGTATCGTTTTGTGTCCCATAGTCCAGTCCAATCTTTGTCTGAAGAGTTGGCCTTGGAAATTGTTTTAGCTCTGGGCTGATAGAGAATCCGGGGGCCGTGCTTTCCAGGGTCCCTCCAGTCTTAGTCAGACCATTAAGTCTGGTCTTTTTACTAGAATTTGAGTTCTACTGGGGTAGGTACTTACCTTTACCCTATCTTACCCATGAGCAAAAGCCTCAAAGACGTGAAGTAGCTGGTGCCAGGACACGTCACTCATAATGGGGCACTGGGTCCTACACCAGGTTCTCCCGGTCCTCTCTGATAAGCGCTCAGCCTGAGTTAAACGTGAGCTTCATTTTATTCACCGCTGTATCGGCAGCATCCAGCCCGGTGCTAGAGTTGGCATATGACAAATATTTGTTGAAGGGATGAGTGAATGCTGATCTGTGTTCTTAGGACTCAGATGGAAGGGTCACTCTAGTCCAGGCTCAGCTTTGTGCCTGCAGCTGCTTGTTGGGGGGCTTCTGGGGCGAACATGTGTCTTGTCTGAACCTTGACTGCCCTTGCTCTGCTGTGATCGCGGCCAGAATGGGCGCCCAGGGCACCAGTGGTTCCGTTGTGGAGCTGCTGGCTTCAGGGAGAGCTGTGTCTGCCGCTGCCCCTGCCGCCAAGCTGGCCTGCCTGTTCTTGCCTGGATCAGGACCTTAGGGAGCTGCATTTGGCCTTCAGGTGGCCTCCATACTGCCACCTATCAGACCTTCAGTGGATCTTTTACTAGACCCCCCAGAAGGACCCCTGGAGGGAGTGGCCTAGTTGTCCTCCAGTTCTTCCTGCACGAGGTTTCTAAATCCCTGACCTCTGCCTTTGAGCCTGCCGTTCTCCCCTGAAGAAACAAGTTGTTCACCTTGACATCACACTGGGTGTTGAAAGGTAACCAACAGGAGCACAGTTCACCGCTAGCCTGGTTTTCCCTTCTGTTTTCTTCAGGGCCTGCAAGTGGATGACGAGATTGTGGAGTTTGGCTCTGTAAATGCCCAGAACTTCCAATCGCTGCAGAACGTGGGCAGTGTGGTGCAGCACAGCGAGGGGGTGAGTAACCTGGCCGCCTGGGCCAAGGAGCCTTGCTAGGGCCTCTGAGTGCTGCCCCGATGGTCCTGGTTCCCAGGCACAGGCCCTGCTCAGGCCGGCGCTGACTGTTCCCTTGCCTGGAACGCTTTCTTCCCTGCCCCCTCTTACCGCCCTCATCTTTATGCAGTGACACCTTCCTAGTGGGGCCTTTCCCAGCCAACCCATCTATGATATCCCTCTCCCACTTCCCTTCCCCTTTCCTGCTTTATTCTTCCTAGCACATACAGAATCTAACATTTTGTCTGTCTGGCTGCTCCTGGTAGGATGTGAGCTCTCTGGGGCCAGCGGTGTCTGTTTTGTGACTGCTATATCCCCAGCAACAGCGTAATCCGTCACACAGGAGGGGTTCAGGGAATGTTTGTTGAATAAATAATTACAGTTGCCAGGCATTGAAAGCTTATTGTGTTCCAGGTAACCCTGTATGTATAGATTCTTGTTCAGTGCTTTGGAGGTAGGGATTGTGGTTGTTTCCATTTTACAGCTAAGAAAACAGAGGGCCCGAAAGGGCAAGTAACTGCCCAGGGTATCAACTAATAAGTGGCAGCGAGGGGATCCAGACCCAGGCTGATTGTCTCCAAAATCTCCTCTCACTCAAGACATCCTGCTGCTTCCCACAGACCCTTCCTCAGGCACTTGGTCACAGGGCGCACAGGACATGTGGCCCTGTCCTTGTTGGGCTTATGTTGTTTCCTTACAAATTATGTAGATACATTTATATATGTTTTATTTAAATATCCTTAACAAACTTGAAATCATCCTGTCGTTAATGTCTTTTTTTTTTAACTTTCTAAAATTGCATTAGATACATATGAACTATCTGATAAGGGATTGATATCCAGAATACATAAAGAACTCCTACCACTCAACAATAAAAAGACAAACAATCCAGTTAAAAAGGGCCAAAGGACTTGAAAAGACATTTCTCCAAAGAAGACATACAGATGACCAATAAGCACATGACAAGATACTCAGCATCATTAGTCATTAGGGAAATGCAATTCAAAGCCACATAAAGTACATTCAGTGAGATGGCTATTATAAAAAAATGGAAAATAACAAGTGTTGGCAGGCTGTGGAGAAATTGGAACACTTACGCGTTGCTGGTGGGATTGTAAAACAGTGCAGCTGCTGTGGAAAACAGTTTGGTGATTTCTCCAAACGCTGGATGGTCACCAGGGGTTGGGGAGGGAAGAATGGGGAGTGAAGGGTACTGAGCTTCTGTCTGGGGTGAAGAAGAACTTTTAGACATAGACAATGGTGATGGTCGCCCAACCTAGTGAATGTGATTAATGTCACTGAATTGCGCACTAAAAAATGGGTCAAATGACAAATGTTACATTATTCAATTAAGCAAAGATAGAATCAAAAGTGAGTTTCCCTTCAACTTTTTTGTTTTTCTGGTTTTACTCTATTTTTTCATTGTGGTAAAAATATCTATAATAACATTGGTCATTTCAGCATCTTTTACATGTGTAATTCAGTGACATTAATAACGTTCACCATGTCGTGCAGCCATCACCACTGTCCATTTCCAAATATTTTCATCACCTTAACAAACTCAGTGCCCGGTGAGCAATACCTCCGTGTTTTCCCTTCCCATCTCCCCCTGGTAACCACAAATGAACTTTGGTCTCTATGCCGTTGTCTGTTCTAAACATTTCATATAAGTGGGATCACACAATTTTGTCCTTTTGTGTCTGACTTATTCTCTTTCCTCTTTAATCACATTTCTTCCTGGAGATTAACACTGTGCATATCCTTCTGTACATTTTTATCTGGATTTACATACATATTTTTTATTATATGTATAGTTTTTTTAAAAGGTAAATGAGATCATGTACCTGAGGTTTTTCAGCTTGCTTAGTTTACTCAACAGTTCATCTTGAAGTTACTTCATTCTTTTTAATAGCTGCTTAAGATTCAGTAGTATGGGTATGTCCTTGTTTATTTCTTTTTAAATGTTTTAATTATACAAATAACCTATAATATATCCTTGTGATCAGTATGGATAAAATAAAACTCCCCTTGGGCCATCAACCCCAATTCTGATCCCTTTCCCATTTGATTTATATTTTCTCTGCTGTTTTTTTATACCATTAAATACAAGTAATGTGTATATAGAAATGTGTAGTTTTATTTTGAGCTCTTTGCTGTCTTCTACATACTAAACCAGAATACCCATTGCCATCGAGTCGATTCTGACTCATAGCGACCCTATAGGACAGAGTAGAACTGCCCCATAGGGTTTCCAAGGAGCAGCTGGTAAAGTTGAACTGCCGACCTTTTGGTTAGCAGAGGAGCCCTTAACCACTGCACCACCAGGGCTCCACCTTCTACATAGATGGTATAAACGGTAGGTGATATTTTCACTTAACAGGGCTTCTTGGAGATCTTTTCCTTTGGCACATACCTCATGTTTTTCACTGCTGCGTAGTACTCCATTGCTTGAGTGGAGTGCAGTTTGTACATTGCCTGATTTCTGGACAGTGAGGTTTCTCCAGTTTTACACTGTTAGGAACAGTACTGTGTACTTAAAACGATTATGCACATATGTAGGTACTTCTCTAGGTAGAGACTAAAAAGTAGAATTACAAGCTGTACGCATATGCATAAGGAGCCCCGGTGGCACAGTAGTTAAGCACTTGGCTGCTAACCGAAAAGTCGATGGTTCAAACCCACCAGCTGCTCCACAGGAGAAAGTTGGAGCAATCTGCTTCCATAGAGATTACAGCCTTGGAAGTCCTATGGGGTAGTTCTGCTCTGTCCTGTAGGGTCGCTGTGAGTCGGAATCGACCTGATGGCAAAGGGTTTGTTTTTTTTGGTCCCCCAAAGAGCTGCCTTAGTTCGTGTTCTCTCACGTAGTGTCTACGAGTGCTTCTGTCTTCACCCTCCCCACTTATCTTACTGTCAGTCTGACAGTCTAAACCTAGGTGGAAAATGGTATCTTGTTTTAATTTGTTTTGTGTGTACTCCCCTTCCCTTTAATTTTTTTCTTAAATTAAAGAAACTTACATATACACAGGAGCCCCGGTAGTACAAACGGTTAAGAATGTATCTTGGTGATGGTTGCACAGCATAGTGAACGTAATTAATGTCACTGAACTGTGCACGTAAAAATGGTTAAAATCGCAAATGTTTTGTCATATATTTTTTACCACAATAGAAAACAGTGTATCTTGTATGCACCTTTTAAAGATTCTTTTTTTTTTGGACACATTTCTCCAGAAAGATGGTACGGATTCACAGTCCCCCTGGTGACTTCAAGAGTCCCACGTCCCCCCCACTCTTGCCAATGCTGTGATCATACTTAAGATAAAATCCTTACCAACATGACGGGTGAAAAGGATCATCCCAGCATTTTAGCCTGAATCTCTGGGTGTACTAATGAGACTAAAATGAGCCTGTTTTCCTTTCAGAAGCCACTGAACGTGACAGTGATCCGAAGAGGGGAGAGACAGCAGCTTAGACTTGTCCCAACACGCTGGGCGGGAAAAGGACTGCTGGGGTAAAGTGCCGATGTCCTTTCCTTCACATGACGGTGGCAGCGAGTGTTCCTTAGATATAAAGTGGGGAATAGTGGGAATCCCCAGAATGCAACGTGTGGTATGAATGAGGTGGGTGTGGTGGTGGAGGGAGCCCTGGTCTCTCTCCTCAGTCTTCTATGGTCTGATTAAAATGATCTTTCATTAACTAGGCATTTGTTTTACAAGCATTAAAGAATATAGGTGGAAAGCTCGGAAGGGTTCAACTCTGATCTTCTGGAATAGAGCCACCAAACCTCAAGCTGTTCTTTTTTTTAATTTTTCCTTCCAGCTGCAACATTATTCCTTGGCAAAGATGATCGTCCCTGGGGAGCGGTAACAGAAAAGCATCTTCGCATGCCTTGGACTTGGGTCTAGTGGGCCTCCCTGGTTCTCATCTCTCCCTGAAGTTTATGGATCTGGAAGCGGCCGGAAGCCTGAACTTCTAGGTGGCGGAAACGCTGTGGCCGACCAATATAATCTGTCTGCGTTAAGGCATTGTTCAAACCTGACTTGTGCTTAGCGGCTTTTACAAATCAGGCCATGGCCCTAAGTGACAATCCGCTTGATGGTGGGTGAGTGGGAGGGAGTAATTCTGGCAGGTGCTTATATGACTTTATTCTTTCAGGAAAAAAAAAATTCAAATAAATACAGTTTTACAGTGTGTTGATATGACCGTGGTATCACCCCAACTGAATTTCTTATGAACTCACAAACCAAAGCTAAGCTGGGGGTCAGAGCATCCTCACAGGAACATACTGGGCAGAACAGACTGGCAAATAGTGGTGACGTCAGGTTTTCACTGAGCCGTGGCTGCTCTGATTACAGAAATTGCCAGGTAGGTTTGTGCATCCTCAGCAGCTGGGCCTCTGGGGCCACAAATCCTCCCTTTGGAGAATAGGGAAAGCCTGGAGCCTGTCCCGGTAGCTGGGATACTGATTGGTGTTGGCTTATTCTTCTGTAATCCAGCAAAGGGCCGCAAGTTCTTCTGTGGCCACCAAAACCTAAAAAAAAATCAAACCCTTTGCTGTTGAGTCAGTTGTGACTCATAGCAACCTTTAGGACAGAGTAGAAATGCCCATGGGGTTTCCAAGGCTGTACTCTTTATGGAAGCAGATCGCCAGGTCTTTCTTCCGTGGAGCAGCTGGTGGGTTCGAATCACTGACCTTTCAGTTAGCAGCCAAGTGCCCAACTCTTGTGCCACCAGGGCTCCTTCTGTAACCACCAGAGGGCAGCAAGCTCCCTTCTGGAATTAACAACCACCCTGGTGGCATAGTGGTTAAGAGTTCAGCTGCTAACCAGAAGGTTGGCAGTTTGAATCCACTGGGTGCTCCTTGGAAACCCTATGGGGCGGTTTTACTGTGTCCTGTAGGGTCACTGTGAGTCAGAATCAACTCGATGGCAACGAGTTTGGTTTTTGGTTTGCACGGTGGTTAAGACTTGGCTACTAACCAAAAGGTCAGCAATTTGGATCCACCAGCCACTCCTTGGAAATCCTACAGGGCAGTTCTACTGTCTTATAGGGTTGGTATTAATCAGAATCGACTCTATGACAGTGGATTTTTTTTTTTTTTTAACAATCGCAAATTAGCTCGTAACTTAACTTTTTGTGATTGACCCTCCCAGCTATGCTCTCAGACCAGCACTGTTCTGTGAACTGCTGAGGTGTACTTGACATTGCTGATAAGAACACAGTGTTTGCAGATCTGGTTGATTGGAAATGCTTGCTTCCTTTTTCCTTCCTTGTGTTTTTTTCTCTCTTTTAACCTGTTAAATGGGCTTCAGTGGCTCCTCTTTCTTCTCTTCAGGGTATCACAGTGTTTACTGCCACAGTTCTTACAGACAGCTTTCTGCGGAGGAATGACTGTGTTCCTTGGGGTTGGATTTACTTGGGCTAGAGACAGATAAAGGAGCGCTGGTGGCGCAGTGGTTAAGTGCTCGGCTGTGAACCGAAAGGTCAGCGGTTCAAGCCCACCAGCTGCTCTGCAGGAGAAAGATGTGGCTGGCAGTCTGCTCCTGGGAAAGATTTCAGCCTAGGAAACCCAATGGAGCAATTCTCTGTCCTTTAGGGTCTCTGTGAGTCGGAATCCACTTGATGGCAGTGGGCTTGGCAGTGGGTTAGAGACAGGTAACAGCGTGCTCTGATGGGAGTCAGTACTGAGATGTGCTCCCAGCTATGGGTTCTCACACTCAACTTGGAAGGCCTCCTGTTCCCCTAAACTCTATTCCCCCGTCCTAGCTGGAGGCATACTGTGTTTACCAGTGTTTGCTGTTTAAATTGTGTGTTCAAATTCCGTGTCTTCCAGTCTTTTTCATAAGCCCCAGACTGTAATAAACACAGATTATACTGATTTATCCCTTTTTGTCCTTTTTGGAGATGTATACATATTAATCAGCTTACAGCATTGGGGCATGGGTTTTTTTGTTTTTTGTTAGTTGTCACTGAGTTGATTCCAACTAATGGCAACCCTGTGGGGGTGGGGGTCATGAGATCATTCACTTTCTCCTAAAATGATAGCACCAAGACACTTCTTCATCAGAGCTAAGATCTGGTTTCCTGTAGACCACCCTTTACCAGTCCTAAGAGTGGCAACATGTTGTGGTCTGAGATTCTAGCTGAGCTTCAGTTTGACATGAAATGGTCCTAATAGATTTAACCAGACTTTTTTTTTCATTTTATTGTTGTTGAGAATATACACAGCAAAACATACACCAATTCAACTGTTTCTACATGTACAGTTCAGTGACAGTGATTTCAATTTAACCAGACCGGTTTTACAGAAGGCCTTTGTGATAGGGGCAGCAAGATCGTGTAACCTGTATAATACTGAACCCCAATTAACTGAAATACTGTACTCAACACGTAGTGCCCTGTGAGGAGGTGGAAGGGCCGAGATGTGTGCTGCCTCTCTAAGACCTGGAAATAGCCTGTTTTAGTTTGCTTTTGGCAAAGAGTGTTTTCAAACCGTTCATGTTTCTTCACTTACAAGAGTAAGTCTTCAGAAAGTCTAACTTCCCAGTATTGGCCGCTGCGACCTTTCAGGGGATGGCACCGTGGGAAAAAGTGGGGGATAATGTCAGGTGAGGAAAGAAAGAGAGGAAGATAAAACGGCTAAGTTAAATTTCCGGCCCCGGCTCGGGCGGCACTTCTCCCCGGCACAGGCAGGGGGCGTGCTGGGCCTGCTCGCAAGCCCCTTCTGGCACGTGAGCCACCGTCCAGCCCTCTCGCTTTACGGCTAGTAGCCCGCGGCGGCGGCGGCAGCGGTTGCCATGGGGACTGGGTTTGGGTGGCAACCGTAACTAGGGAGCCTTTAGAGCCGGCGGCGGCAGCCGGAGATCGCGGGATTCAGGCGGCTGGACGGCCCAGGCTTTTGAACCCCGGGGAAGGCGAGCTGTGAGTCAGGGGTGCCAAGGCGGGGGTCGCGGCACGGCGGGGTGTAGGGTGGCCCCAGGGGACCTCAGCGGGAGGGAAGGGGCCTCACCACAGACCCACACTCTCGCCACCCCCACGCGGCCCCGCGGTCCCACTGGGCTTGGACCCGTCCCCTTCAAGGTTTGGGCCCTTTGGAAGAAGCCCTGTTAGAGCCCTAGACATGAAATCACAGTCGCCATTATTCGGATGGGGGAACTGAGTGCCAGAGAGGTCTGCTGCTTGTTAGCTGTGTGATCTTGAATAAGTCACCTCAACTCCTCGAGCTGCAAAGTTTGTTTGTTGTAAGGAATAAATACGAGAGTGTGCGTTAGAGTGCTTTTAAACTGTGAATTTCTCTGCAAATCAAGTTTGCTTTTATCCCCGTAACAGTTGCTACCATGTCTTAAGCACCACACCCTGGAACTGTGCTGAGCACTTTGCATATGTTATCTAATCATCACAACAAACCCATATTTTATTTTGACTAGGGGCAAGTGTAGACTCTGAGGGGTAAAGTGACTTGCCCAAGGTCGGAGAACAAGTGAGTGTAGAACTGGGTGGGATTCTCAGCTAGGAAAGGCTGCCTGCAAAGCACTAAGCTTAGCCATGAATCTATGTTACTTCTTCTCTTATTTCTATTGGTAGATTTGTTGCAAATGCCTGGGTTATGCATTTGTTGCCTGTGGGAATATGGATATTTTAAAAATTAGTTAGGGGGCTCTAAAGTTATTCCTGGAAAGATGAGAGGCCCTGGGAATCAATATTTTTATAAGGTTCAGGACAGGCTTTCCTGACATATGACATTCTTTTTATCCCTGTGGAAAGGAACTAGAGCTGGTATTGCACATTTCATGTATAGGTTAGTGCACCAGGGAATCAAAACGAGAAACAGAGGTGCCTATTGATGATTATTGCCAAAATTTTTCTAGAGAAAACTCTATAGGAGAGAATGTCAGATGCAGAAAAAAGCCCACTAGAAGAAACAGAAGATGGAGAAACGGAAATGGAA